TATTATTATCATTATTGTTATCATTATTATTATCATTATCATTATCATTATTATTATCATTATTTTTATCATAATCATCATCATCATCATCATCTGTACGAATTTTCTTTTAATTGGTCTCATAATTCTCTGGTGTGTAATCAGTATTTAGCTTAGAGGGATATAGATAACAAATTTAGCAATTCAGTTTATTTCATTTAGATAATATGACCCACAACCATGCATAATACATATATCACAAATAATGTTCATCTGTAAATCACTATCACAAGGTGGAACAAGCACTCGAAGAACGGCTTGGCCAGTGAAGGGGCGAAGCGAATATGCACAGCCAATCTTGATTAAATCTCCAGATGACAAATATTTCATAATGTCTGCAAATAATAATTAAAATCAAAATATGTACTATTGTACCACTGACACAATAAAAAGAAAAATTAAGAAAAAGCAAACACAAAAGCTCACAAGCAGGTGCAAATATACTGCTAACGGAAGCAAGGTAAAATGACCGGCCACCTTGTAAACAGGTGAGAGGTGAGGGTAGACCGCTTTACGTGCGTTTTACACATTCGAGGACGTGTGAATATAAACGAAATTCAATTTCGTTAGATATGTTATATAAGGAAATACTTATCAACTAATCCTAAGCAACCAAAACCATAGTCATGCATCCATGCAATTTATATAAATCCTTTACATCACCCTCATCCTCATCATCAGCAGCAGCAGTATCACCATCATCACCACCATTATTGCTGTTATCATTATTATTATTTTGTTTGTTGTTGTTGTTGTTGTTGTTGTTGTTGTTGTTATTGTTGTTGTTGTTATTATTATTATTATCATTATCATTATTATTATTCCTAACTATTACTATTAGCCTCATCCTCATCATCATCATTATCATTCTCAATATTTTCATTATCATTATCTTTGCCAATATTCTTATAATTATTATTATTATTACGATTATCATTGATATTATCATTATCGTTATTGCCATTGTAATTATTAAGGTTTTCATTATCATCATCGTTATTATTACAATTATTATCCTTATCACCGTCATCATTATATTATCATCCTCATTATTATTATGATTATCATTTTTATTGTTAATATCATTATTATTATCATTATAGTTATCCTTTTGTTATGAATGCCATTATCATTATCAACATTGTCATTTTTATCGTTATTTTTATTGATATCATTATCATTATCAATATAATTATTGCTTTGATTATCATTACTATCATTATTACTATTTTCATTGTCTTTATTTTATTACAACTATCACAATTATCATCATCATTATTATTAATATATTTCATCGCATGTTCTTACTCTTCTGCTATCCATTTCCCACCTCCTTCTTCTTCTCCGTTTCTCTCTTTGTTTCCGGCAAAGAATCTGAAGGATTTAGAATACGACTGGCTCTTTCCTTCAGTACGAGTGTCGTCAGCACGCAAAACTTATTAGCACGCGGAGGAGAGAGAGAGAGAGAGAGAGAGAGAGAGAGAGAGAGAGAGAGAGAGAGAGAGAGAGAGAGAGAGAGAGAGAGAGAGAGAGAGAGAGAGAGAGAGAGAGAGAGAGAGAGAGAGAGAGAGAGAGAGCGAGAAAGAGAGAGAGAAAAAAAAGTTTAAAATAATTTCTTTCTTATGTTCGTCGACAGGCAATTTGTGCGAGGGTGTAAGAAATGAAACGCAATTTTCTCAAACTGGTCGATAAATAATAGATTTTCGAAGCCGCGTTTCTCTCCCACGCTCTAGTTAGGGGAAAGGTCCGCAATCATTTGGAAAATAGACCTCTCTTTAGGCGCATATTAACTGATTTTTAATACTTCTTTACACCTTTCATGTTTTTAAATCATTTCTATTTCTTCTTTAATTCTTTTTCTTTTTTCCCCCACCTTCCTGAAATCACCGGAGAACAAATTAAACGCTTCATCACACGCATTTTAACATAATTATAGACACTTATCACCATCGCCTTTTGATAGAGCGTGATCAGACGTCCAGGATTATGGTAATAAAGGCCACTTAACGAAGCTTCAACAAGGGATGGATGGTTTTAACAGGTACTTTTAACAGGTACGAGCCATGAGCTGGTGAGTTAGAATAGAGATGGGAGAGTGAGATGGGCGGAGAGGAATGGGAGGAGGGAAGAAAGGAGGGGAAGGGATAGGAGGAAGGAGGGACGGGCGGAGGGAGGGCAGTAGAGTAAGGAAGGGGAACGGAGGGGATGAGAGGGAGGGAAGGAGGGGATGGGGTTGAGGGACACAGAGAGAGAGAGGGAGAGAAGAAGAAGGAGAAGAGAATGGTAGATAGAAGGGAGAGGAAAGGGAAGAGGGGTAGGATTAAGGGAAGGAGAGAAGGGGGTATAGAGGGATGTAGAGCAGGGGGAAGAGGAAGAAAGGTGAGAGTAAGAGAAATGAGACAGGTGGAAGTGGTTGAGAAGAGGAGACGGAGAAACAGGGAGAGGGAGGGAAGGGAGAGAGGATAGAGGGAAGGAGGGAGGGGCAGGAAAGAAAGGACAGAGAATGGAGAAAGGAAGGAGGAAAAGAAAAAAAGGAAGGAGGGGGAGACTTGGAGAGACGACAGAGGGAAGTATAGAAAGAACGAGAGAGAGAGAGGAAAAGAGAAGGAGAGAGAAGAGAGAGAGAGAGAGAGGAGAAAGAGAGAAAGAGAAGAGAGAGAGAAAGAGAAAGAAGACGACAGACAGAGAGAGACAGAGTGAGATTAGAAAGAAAAACCGAGAGAGAGAGAGAGAGAAGAACGAGAGAGAACGGAAAAAGAATAAGTCCCTCTTCCTCCCTCCGCAAAGCCGTTCCCTTGGTTTCTCGCGGCCTAGAGCAAGCGCGATACAATGGACGATTCAAAT